ATCCGAACCGATCATTCCGCACGAAATCAGCGAAGAACTGGAGTACGTGTTGCTTTCGCGGTTGGACAAGAATTCCAAAACTCGGATCACCATCCAGAAGCTACTGAACACGATATGGATGACACAGGAAATCAATTCGTCACAGTTTAATTTTTCCATAATCGTCCCCTGCGAACCATACGAAACCAATCTGTAGAAGTTCCGGCCACACGGTAGTGCAGGAGCAGCCGTGTGGTTCAACGCCAGAGTTGCGACAGTGAGTACAGTACTACGCATACACGCCACATATTTGTGAAAACCCACACCCACACGCCACAGAATAGGGCAATAAATGTTATAGAAAATGTGAATATTCCTGTTTTCATACTTTGTCCGTGCAGCCCCTCCGAATACCCAGTAGCATGCCGGCCCTGCGACACAGTTCAGGGGTCTCATGCTACTGAGCTAGCTACCCGGGAGTGTTTGATCAGGCCAAAGTCACAACTGCGCAGGCGCACAATTAGTGCAGTGATACCAGTTACTTTAGAGATCATAAAAATGATGTACCATGGGTGCGAAACATGGCCAATGAGTGTGCCATGATGTGCCCTACTGTGTTTTTGGCACACTGTTCTCAGTGACCAACCCCTTGGCGATAGTATACTATACCGAAAAGGAGCTGATTATGAACGAAGAGGAGGCCGAGCGACGAGTGATGGAACAGGAAAACATTTATAAGAATTAAGGAAGTTGCTTAGATGGCAGAAAGCAGATGCAAAACTCGTTTCACCATCCAGGAAAAGTAAGATGAATTCATTGGTGAACAAAGTTTCTCATTAATATTCAATTGAGCCTTTATTAATATACTGATTCAAACAAGCTGCCCATGTTTAAACGGGTCATAAAAGAGTCAAATTTAAGATTCTTTATGCTTATTTTCATATCAAGAGGTTGATCACTCCGCACAGCCAAAAACACAGTTGGGCACACCTGGGCATTGTTATTGTGCGAAGAGTCACCTAATGCGAATGATGGCTTCATGCGTTTGATAACCTCCGGGACAGGTGCCGAATGCTAATAGATGCAATGTAAGCGGATTTGCCGTTGCAGGTCACCAGCTAGGCAGCGACTAGGCAGTTCACCAACCAGAAGGCAGCGATTTGATTGCGTATCGAGTTGCTGAAGCAGTTTTGTATTAGTGAGATGTATAACCAAGCCTGCGCAGTGTACACCTTAAATATGTACTTCTTTTTGCAGAGCCAACGATGGCAGGTGCAATCAGACTAGACCATTGAACGGCTTAAGGACCGTACGGAAGATTAACGAACTCTGGAAGCAGCCTGTAAGTCGGGTTTGTTGACGCTAGGGGAAATGTTGTACTTGGAAGGGCATCTGGCGACTACCAGACTATCATCACGGTATTTTGAAAGACATTTTTCAAGAATTGTATATACTCCAAAATTGAATCTCATATCTCCAGCTTTCGTGACTTAGTGCGATCTTTTAATGCAGCTTTTTGGGGATGTACTTCCACAAAAAGAATGAGATGAGCTCGATCTTATATGGTTCTGGGGAGTGCACGGGTAGTACATTAACGCTATTCCCGTTTTTGGAGGACATTCAGAAGTTCACATCCGTTGGACAATTCAAAAGCTATTCGGTAGTCACGCTTCACATTCCTAGCAGAGCTATCGAACTAATAATCTCCCTTTGAATTGATCTGATCGATAAAAGAATGGGAACGGCTCAAACGTCGTTCAGCGTGCAGGCCCCTACTGTCGACGCTGGAACGGAAAGAGAGGACAGCGAGGGTGACAGAACCGTCGAATTTGAACGTGTTGCACGCTTTGCGCTTCAATTTGAGAAATACTACGTAAAAACTTGAAAACCATTTTCTGTTCTGGCTGCAAATTTGATTTGAAAGAAATTAAATCAATCGAGCTGTCAAACGATGTCATGGCACTGTTGGCACAGTTTCGGCACACTGAGAAAAAAAAAGTTGGCGTAATATTCGTGTGTAGAGTGACCACCCTTTGTATCATATATTCTAATCAAAATTCGGACAAGGAGGAAAATCCCCTTTGAATGTTAAATTTAGATTTCGTATTAGTTTTTAAATGCTGTATTTCATGTTTGGTAGTGTCACTTGTCGTTCTGACATCTTGTTATGAAAAGAGGGTTCAATTGACACTCCAGCTGGTGGAACTTTTCTTATATTTGAAATTTACCTACTGTTAATGCGATTGAAATTTCATCAGCAATTGAGCAAACTGTGATAGAAAAAGCAATACTATGAATGCCCCATTCAATACCTTGTAATTTTAGGGGACATAAAATAAAAATTGATTTTGCATCAGCCTAATACTAGTACAATATGGGTCATTCCATCTCAAGTGTATCGTCCCTCTCCAATTTGAACAAAAATTGTTGTGGCTACATATATTAGGCCCTAAAAGTCTAAAATTGTGTGCCTATTGGCTCTGGGAGGGGGCAGTCTCTTTGCGATTTCTAAAAAAAAAACAATTTTCATTTTTACGTATCTCTGAAACCAATCGACATTGGGTACCCCTTTTGAAGCATTTTAAACGTTCAATCAAATGTTTTGATCTTTATTTCTCTACAACTGCCAACTCTGCATATTTTTCATTTGAGGACTTCAAATGCAAATATCTTAAAATTTACCCCACTTTTTTTCATTTTGTAGGTGATCAGCAGACTTTTTTTTACATAAGAATCACTGAACGAGGAACAACAATATATTTTTAGCGGCTCCGGTGGTGTAGTGGTAAGCGTGATTGCCTCTCACCCCAGCAGGCCTGGGTTCAATCCCAGTCGGGGACGCCGGGATGGGAAGGGAAGTAAAGCCGGTCCCCGGTTCATGAGTTGATGGGTCGATAGGTACCAGATTTTCTTAAAGCTGAAACATTTGGGCTTACGGACTGGCGATATGAATGACGTAGACCTAGTCCACTCACTGTTTGACTCAAAATTGATCTATTGTTGCCTTTCCAAACTTACGTTGTACCTACGGAGGGTGCCTGGAACCATCCATACTCTCTCGATCGCACCAATCACGATCGAGCCAATCATAATTAATTAACACTAATGCAACAGTTATAGTTCGAAAGAGAGTAAGAGTTGTTGGTTGACAATAGATAGGATAATGCAAAGTGCACACCAGATCGGTGCAAAGTCCCATGAACTCAGTTATGCCGAGGCATGACGACACTTTCGTTTGTGTTGAACAGGTTTGGAATAGGTGGTTGACCAATGGAAAGATTGCTGCCGGTCAACACTTTAAAAAGATGATTTGTTTGCATGGAAACAACGATCTACGATTGTTACAAAGCAAACCACATGCAGGAGGGCGATTGGCTTCGTAAAAAAAAATACTGGGACAGATGACGGACACGGAAACGAACGAATAATGATACCGAACCAGGCTAAGCACAAACGAGGACATGCATGGAAACGGATGAACGAAGACATTCGAATTGCGCACATTTGGAATAACTCCTTGGACCTTTTCCTTATAATCCCCTTTAATGTGATGTTGTTGAGGCCTACAGCAAAATTCGTTTGGAAAAAGTTTCCCTCACAAAACAAATTCAGTGTAGGATCTGATTTCAAATCACAAAAAAAGAATAAAATCATAAAATCCAAAATCATCCAATTACTCAAACTAACACCATCCCCAAATTTCCAAAATTATAATGCGAACCGAAATAATTCCCATCGCCTGCAAAACAGCTTGCGAAAGTTAAGAGCAACTTCCCGCTCTTCCCCATAGTGGCACAATGAAAACTGATCTCCTTCCGTTGCGTTGCCACTCTGCCACCACCCAGGAGCAAAAGCCCGTGGGAAATAAAAATTTCGCACATTATAAATTTCACTCCGCTTCAGATTTAATAAGCGCTGTTACACAAAACAGTACAAAACTCTCCCGCCCACACGCAACGCACTCCTCGACAGAGGATCTCCCTGTGGACTGCGAAAAGTTTCCCAAGCCCCAAGCCACGCTTTCCCCACAGCCAACATATTCACATATTTTGCAGCCATTAATTTTCGCGCACTCGTGCTGCTGCTCGAATAATTTACGCGCCCGCTTGCAAAAGTGATAAAGCACATCCTCCATATCCCGACAACCATCGAGCGAAAATTCCTGCATGTTCCTTTGCTTGGTGTTTTCCTCTTCAAGGCAGACGCCTCGAAGCCCTTCTACTTCTTCTTCATCTTCTAATTCTTGTTTTCGTCGTTGTTGTACCAAATTTACACAAAGCACTAGATCAAAATGTGCATGAACCAGAAATTTCCACACACTCGTCGACTTTTTCCACGAAATTTCCCACCACGGTACCGGCGCTGTTGTAAGGCGCATCCTCTTCAGGGTGGTTTGTCGTCGTCGGTGGTGTTGGTGCTGTCGTACGAGCATCACATTTCGCTCAAAACAGAAAGTTTGTCTTCCAGCAGTCAAAACTCGGCGTGGAGCATCATCTGCTAGGACGTTGAAAGTGTGTACGTTCACAGAGTGAGTGGAACGTTGTTTTGATGGAGCTCATATCGGCTGAGTTTCCCACTAAGTCGGTTGAAACAGAAACGATCATAGTGAATGGTCATAGCTCCACGTAATAGAACTTTGCTTAAACTAACGGATTACTTAGCTGTACTCGAGGAAACATTCCGGAAACTGCTGCAAGCGTACCAAGACGACCGCGAATGGTAGACTGGAGGGTCAGAAAATTATTTACAGCTGTATTTATTACATGATTACAACAAACACAATCATCCATACATGAAAACTACAGGACTGGTAGCAGTCCGCATCGTGCTCTCTTGCCGTGCGGATCTATTTGCTTTTTGCTTAAGGAAGTGTTACTACTACCTAAAGCTACAACAAATTTAAACAGCACTTTTCAGTGCTCAACCTGTAAAAATTTTCTACCTTGTTCAACTCTTATTCCTCTTCGATCCTTGTTTGGACCCTACCCGAGGTAATCCTTCTTGGATATCGATTTGGAAAATTCCTCTTCGATCCTTCAGATTCTTATAGTAATCTGCTTGGAAGTCGATTTGGATAAAAATTTACTGCCGCCATGGCGCCTAAACGCAAAAGAAAGGGGCAAACTCTTGACCCCCCTTCTGATGAAATTAATTTGAATAATCAATTTGATTTGCTCACGGATGATGAGAATGATCCATCATCCAAGAAAAATTCTAGTAAACTTTCCCGGCTTAATGCCAAGAAGGAAAAGATTCCCCCTATTGTGATAACCACTACCGATTTCCATGCTCTTCGCATGGAACTTTTGAATTTCGTGAAAGTTAAGTTTTCACTACAAATTGGACGTCGGGGTGAATGCCGTGTATTGGCTGAAACCTTGGACGGATTTAAATGTCTTCTCAAGTATCTTACTGAGAAGAAGCACAATTTTTTTACTTACGACACCAAAACTGAACGTGTGTTCAAGGTTGTCATGAAAGGACTGCCCAGTGGTGAATCCCTGGATCAGATCAAAGATGAACTGGCAAAATTACTTGGAGTTGTGCCACTCCAAGTAATCAAAATGAAAATGAAATCCCGTCCTGGCGATTCGCGCAACGGGATTTCTAATGATTTTTATTTAGTTCACTTCAAGTCTAGTGAACTAAACAACCTTAAGGCCTTAGAAAAAGCTAGCCTTATGCTCCATGTCCGAGTGAAGTGGGAACACTTCAGGAAGACTGGAGGAAATTTCCAAAACCTCACCCAGTGCCGTAAGTGCCAGGGATGGGGTCACGGAACTAAAAATTGCTACATGCCAGCTAAATGCATGAATTGTGGTGATTCCTCTCACGCAAAGGACGACTGTCCTGTGAAGGAAGATCCTAAGAAATTTAAATGTTCAAATTGTGGTGAAAACCACAAATCCAATTTTTGGGAATGTAAGACTCGCAAAGCGATCCTACAATCTCGTTCTAACCGTCAGGTAGGAAACGCTCCACGTTTCCGACCAGGTACAAATTCCTCTGCTGTTAACAACGGTCAGCGAGGAACAAATTCTACATTCGTACCCGTAGGTACAAATATCTCCCCTGCTTCAAATGTTTCATCTGTACCTAGTCCCCTCGCTGCTAACAATGTTCAGCGAGTTAATGGAGCTACCTATGCTGCTATTGCAGCGGGTAGAAATCAAAATACTAACCAACGTTCTAACGGAAATTTTGACAATTTTGACTTAGGAAGCATTACTGCCCCCAAAATGGAATTTTTACAGAATTCATTAATTGACATGATTTCTGATATGCTTAAATCTAACTCCATGTTTGATGCTATTCAAACTGGAGTAAAATTTGCAAATAATATTGTCATGACTTTAAAATTCAGTAATGGATTTTAAAGCATTAAATATTGTAAATTGGAATGCTCGATCTCTTAAAGATAATGAAGACGAGCTATTTAATTTTTTGAGAGTTCATAACGTGCATATTGCCGTTATAACTGAAACGTTCCTTAAACCTGACCATAAGGTTAAGAAGGACGCAAATTACTTGATTTATAGAAATGATCGTCTTGATGGACCCTGTGGTGGCGTTGCCATCATTATTCATAGACGAATCAAACATAAAATTCTTTCTTCATTTGAAACCAAAGTTTTTGAAACTTTGGGAGTTTCTGTTGAAACAAAATTTGGACAACTTACGTTTATAGCTGCCTATTTGCCATTCCAATGCGTAGGCCAGCAAAAGAATTTTCTCAAGAGTGACCTCCAGAAACTTACCCGTCATAGGTCTAAATTCTTCATTATTGGTGATTTTAATGCAAAACACCGCTCATGGAATAATGCTCAAAGCAATTCCAATGGTAATATTCTGTTTGATGATTGTTCTGCAGGTTATTACACTATTCAATATCCAAACAGCCCAACATGCTTTTCTTCTGCAAGAAATCCCTCCACTATTGATTTGGTCTTAACTGATTCATGTCAACTTTGTAACCAATTGGTTACCCATGCTGACTTCGGTTCTGATCACCTTCCAGTAACTTTTGAAATATCCCAAGAAATAATTTGTAATCCCAACAGCTCTACTTTCAATTACCATAGAGCTGATTGGGAGCAGTATCGAACATTTATGGAATATAACTTCGATCCAAACATTCCTTTGCAAACCAAAGATGAAATTAATTATGCTCTTGAATCTCTGACTACTTCTATAGTTGAAGCAAGAGCTGCCTCAGTACCAAAATGCGAGGTTAAATTCGATTCAATTATAATAGACGATGATCTTCAGCTCTTGATCCGTCTTAAAAATGTCCGTAGGAGACAATATCAAAGAACACGCGATCCTGCCATGAAAGTTATCTGGCGGGATTTGCAAAAACAAATTAAAAAGCGATTCTCTGCCCTGAGGAACAAAACTTTTGAAAATAATATTTCTAAATTAGACCCGAGTTCCAAACCCTTTTGGAAACTCACAAAAATTTTGAAAAAACCTCAAAAGCCTATTCCAGCGCTTAAAGAAGGTGGTAAAATTTTGATCACAAATTTGGAAAAAGCTCAGAAACTTGCTAAGCAATTCGAGAGTTCCCATAATTTCAGTTTGGGTCTTACTATTCCTATTGAGAATCAGGTTGCTCGGGATTTTCTGAATATTTTCTCTCGGGAAAATATTTTTGATGATTCCTGGGGGACTGATTTGGACGAAGTAAGGTCTATAACTAAAAAATTTCAAAATATGAAAGCTCCAGGTGATGATGGAATTTTCTATATCCTCATCAAAAAACTCCCAGAGAGTACCTTGTCTTTCCTGGTAAAATTATTTAACAGATGTTTCCATTTGGCATACTTTCCTGATAAATGGAAAAATGCAAAAGTTGTTCCAATTTTGAAGCCGGATAAAAATCCAGCTGAAGCTTCTAGCTACCGTCCAATAAGTTTGCTTTCTTCAATAAGTAAACTTTTTGAAAAGATAATTTTGAATAGAATGATGCTTCACATCAATACGAACTCAATTTTTGCAGATGAGCAGTTTGGATTTCGCCATGGGCATTCAACTACTCATCAACTCTTAAGAGTTAACAATTTAATTCGTTCAAACAAATCTGAAGGCCACTCAACTGGAGTTGCTCTTCTAGACATAGAAAAAGCATTCGACAGTGTTTGGCATGAAGGTTTGATTGCTAAATTGAAAAAGTTTAATTTTCCACTTTATATTATGAAATTAGTTCAAAATTATTTAACTGACAGAACTCTTCAAGTAAATTATCAAAATTCCAAATCTAATCGACTACCTGTTAGAGCAGGAGTTCCTCAGGGTAGCATTCTTGGGCCTATATTGTATAACATTTTCACTTCGGACCTCCCTGATTTGCCTCAGGGTTGCCACAAATCTTTGTTCGCTGATGACACAGGCATTTCCGCTAAAGGAAGAAGTCTTCGTGTTATTTGCAGTAGACTGCAGAAAAGTTTAGATATTTTCTCTTCTTATTTACAAAAATGGAAGATTTCTCCCAACGCTTCCAAAACTCAACTTATAATATTTCCACATAAGCCTAGAGCTTCGTTTTTGAAACCAAGTAGTAGTCACATAGTCACTATGAACGGAGTTCCAATTTCCTGGTCAAACCAAGTGAAATATCTTGGATTAATACTTGACCAAAAATTAACTTTTAAAGATCACATTGAGGGCATTCAAGCCAAATGTAACAAATATATAAAATGTTTGTATCCTCTTATAAACAGGAAATCCAAACTTTGCCTGACGAATAAACTTCTAATATTTAAACAAGTTTTTAGACCGGCCATGCTTTACGCTGTGCCAATATGGTCTAGTTGCTGCACTACCAGGAAAAAAGCACTTCAAAGGATTCAGAACAAAATTCTGAAAATGATTTTGAAGTTGCCTCCCTGGTACAGTACAACCGAAGTACATAGAATTTCGAATGTTGAGACTTTAGCACAAATGTCCAACAAAATAATTAATAATTTCAGGCAAAAATCGTTGCAATCCTCAATTGCAACGATTAATTCCCTTTATACTTAGATAAGATTTAGTTTTAGTTTTTAGTTTTAAGATATCAATTGTTATACTGACATGCAGGTTAAAAAACCTGTTTAAAATACTGAATTGCCAAGACATGAACAATGTAAAAACACTTAGATATATATCATAACAATTAAGGCTGGTAAGTTACTGTAGTAACTGGAGCACCTAGGTTAAAATGAAATGTAATTTATTTTGAATTTGGAATAAATAAAGAGTTAAAAAAAAAAAAAAACAGGACTGGTAGCGATCAATGTTGTCAAAAATAGTGATTTTAGTGACCATGTTGAAGAAATAGTTGTAAAAAAGTGACTGAAAAGTGACCAAAGGGAAGAAAATTAGTCGTTCTGATGGCATACCAAATAAATGTTTGATGTTTTAGACATATTCAATTAGATTCTCATAAACACATGTATGTACGATAGGAACCTTTAAAGCGAAAGATTCAATAGAAAGTTAATGACTAAACCTCCAAGCTCCTACTTCCTGGAAAAACTTGAAAAACCGGGAATTCGCAGGGAACTTTATTTTTCCTGAAAATACCTGGAAGTATCAGGGAATTTTAAAATAAAAACATTTAACCCTAGGGGGCGACCCCGGCGTAGTGGTTAGCATTCATACCTCTCACGCCAAAGTCACGAGTTCAAATCTCACCCCCGGACAAGTCACGAATGACCCAAGAGCGTTAAAGTGACTATAATAAAAAAAAAAAAAAAAAAAAAAAAAACATTTAACATTCCCAGCTATTTTCATTCACATATTGAATTTTAAAGATCCAAAATGGATTAATCTTCAGTAACAAACATTTTTAAAACTCAGAGGCGTCCAATGATTTTTTTGGTTCTAGAATATGCATATTTCTCTCAAATTTTATAAATTCTGAACTGAGAAGCTATAATACCGTATGCGTGATAATGTTTGCACCATCGTACAAATAAGGTTCCCCTTTCACCTGTGCATACAATGCCTTGGTTTTCTTTGCATGCACGTAACCTATAGCTCATACCGTAGTAGGCTGTGTATAAACATGTATGACAGTTGCACCATGGCGAAGTAGCAGCGTATTCGTGATTTGTCCCACGCGCAAATGTCGCAAAAAGACATTCCAATCGCCGTGGGAGTGTCCCGGTGGACCGTCGAAAGGATTTTAGACCGAGAAAAGAAAGGACAACTATCCGCGAAGGTGACCACAGGTCGTCCGAGGTCAGCTCGGCGTCCGAGGGTTATCGCTGCTATCAAAAGGAAGATTCGGGTGAATCCAGTGCGTTCAATAAGGAAAATGGCAAAGGAACATGGGATCAGTGACTTTACGGCACGGAAGATCGTAAAGGAAGATTACATGATTATTAACCGCATCCGGGAGCTACGAGTCAAACGATGCAAGAAAATCTGGAACTTCCTTAAGTGAAAACATCCGGTAATCCTGTTCACCGACGAGAGCATGTTTACCGTCGATCCCGTTCTCTTCCGGTAAAAGACGTTGCCGAAGAGCACAAGAACGTGTATCTGACCAAGCATCCTGCTAGCGTTATGGTGTTTGGATTGGTGGCTTCCGATGGCAAAAAAATGGAACCGGTGTTCATTCCAGAAGGCGACAAGGTCAACACGGAGGTCTACATCAGGATTTTAAGTAAGTATGTTCATCCGTGGATCAAAGAACAGTAAAGTCCGAAACCAAATGTTGTATTTCAACAAGTTGCGGCTCCGTGCCACACCTCGAACCGAACCTCGAACCGCACCGAACCGTTCTGGGTGAAGGATTTGTGGCCGCCATGCAGCCCCGATCTTTATCCGCAGGATTACTCAATATGGCGCGTCATGAAGGTCAAGGCCTGCTCCAAACGCCACCCGAGTACAGCAAGCCTCAGACAAACATTGACCCGTACCTGGAGAGAAATGGATCCAGACTACATTATTAGAACTTGCCGTGCATTCCGGAAGCATGTGAAGGCCGTAATTGAAGCAAGTGGAAACTCGATCGATAATTAACATAGTTTAAGACTCTGAGAAACATTCCCCCTTTGAATGAATAAATAAAAAACTCGAAAACGAAATTTTTGAGATTTTTTTTAAATTTTGACATTGCTCAATGGTGCAAACATTGTCACGCATGCATTACTTCAAGAAATTATAAAGAATCTGGAGTCAAATTCCGTGCACAGTTTTAAGGCTCATTGCATTTTATTATAATGTCTAAGGACCTCATTCCACGGGAGTTCTGGGAAAAAATCTATGAGAAAAACATCAACTGCAATCTGCTTTCATAGTACTTCTGAGGAATTTTAGGCTTCATGTGAAGCCTAAGCCTGAGATAGTAAACTTTAAGCGAATTTTCATGAGAAATCTCCTTTGAATATGGAATGGACTATTCTGGGGTCTTCATAACTACTTGAAAGTTCCCAAAATATTCCTGAATTTAATTAAACTGCCTTGAACTTCTTTTGTAAGGCCTGTACTCGAAAAAAAAGCACCAGACAAAAGTGTTCGCCAAAAATTTATTTTAAGTCGGATTTTCTTGAAACTTTCAGGGAATGAACTAATACATATGGATTATGTTTCGGCATAATTACTATATTCAATTTCCTTTCCATCGCTGAAAGCCCGCACCTTTTCCTTAAGACCCCTCATTACATTTTGTGCAATGGTGGAGCCGACCTTTTTGGTCACTTTCATCCATTCTTTCTTCAAATCCAGCTCGTTCTTAAACATCTTGAACGTTTTTTGAACTTTGGTCTTCATTATGGCCCAAAATCTTTCCACCGGACGAGTCTCTGGTGAATTTTGGGGGTTGGCGGAATTTGGTACAAAAACAACTTTATTGTCTCTATACCAAAATAATGTCTCGCCTCCTTGGGACCGCAGGAAGGGCAACAGACGCTTCTGGAGGCACTCGGTGCGGTAAATTTCGCTGTTGATGGTACCCATTGTGATGAATAGCTGCTATCACCTCATCAGCCGATATTCTAATATCATCATGCGACTCTAGACATTGCCTCCAGTACGGCAGGCCCATGGGGGCTCACCAT